AGCGAGAAGCTGGGTGGGAGGGTGGGGGTGCAGGCCCTGCGCTGGTCTATCAGAAGGGACTGGGCTCTGTTGCCGGTAGGGCAGTCCGGCGATCCCTACGGAGCTTTTCGGGCCTCCGTGGTCACAAACCGCCGCCTGGCAGCGCCTCTCAGAGTGGGTTGTGTATGCCGGCTGAGTTGTGGCTAAAAGAAGTCAGGTCTTTATGCAGTGGGTCACCGTGGAACCAGCCCATGGTGCACAGACCTGCGTCGTTACTGGCGTAGCTGGTGCTATATGCTGCTGGCTGCAAGCCCTTTCCGGCGGGGACTTGCTCACTGCGAGATCTTGCAGTTACCATAAAAAGGGCTCGAGATGGGACTGGATGAGGTGCCCGTGCACTATAGACATAGAACGCAGTGACAATAGTGCTTAGAAGTACGTGTGCTGTCTGCGGGAGGCAACAGTAATCTTGCTTTTAAGAATAATAATTCTGCTAATGTTTGTGGCTGTGTCTTAAACAATGTATATGTGTCTACTGCTTTTTTTGTTAATGCTAGAGCTTACTGTAACATCTAGGTGTTTAAAGAGGTAACTGTTATGTTACTTGACCTTGGATCAAATCAGAGGCTGCTCTTGTATCTAATATGGAAACGTATCTCTCATCAAGTACAGATCCCAGTTCAATACTCGTGGAATAAACTTGCTATTTGTTTGCTCTATTTCAAGGCTTCGTTTTACTTGTTTCTCTCAAAAGTCTAATAAGCAAGATGTCTACTAACGAGAATGCCAATACACCATCAGCTCGACTGAACAGATTCAAGAACAAAGGGAAGGATGCCACAGTGAGTATTTTGATGCCATTAATACTTCAGCTAGCCATTATCTCTTTAAACATGTGTTGTAAAAGCTGAGAACTTACTATGAATGTATATCTTCCAGGAAATGAGAAGGCGGCGTATTGAAGTCAATGTAGAGCTGAGGAAAGCTAAAAAAGATGACCAGATGCTTAAAAGAAGAAATGTTAGCACTTTTCCAGATGATGCTACTTCTCCCCTTCAGGAAAACAGGAGCAATCAGGTAAGTGGGTATGTGGAACAGGTGTGCTTAAGACACATGCCTCTCCCAACAAAGCATTCATGTAACTTTTTATTGTACAGGTTTCAGCACACTGGTCAGTTGAAGAAATAGTCAAAGGAGTTAATAATAATAATACAGAGATTCAGCTACAGGCTACTCAAGCTGCCAGGTAAGGAGTTTAGAGGTAACCTATTCAGCTGCACAAGCTAGTATTGGGTAAGGTAAAAGAGATGGTTTATGAGCCACAGTGTCTGCACATGGTAGCAGCTATGGCTGCTCTTATCAGACAGTATTTCAACAAAAACCTGAGTCAGCCTCATGTACAATGTATAGGTGTGCTTACCTTAGTCATAGTCTCATTGAAACCATGTGGCTTTTGAATGTTTAAAGTGCCTGAATATTTTACTAGGAAGTAGTAATTCTTTCTAGTGGTTTTGAAGTGGCAAAATAAATAGTTGTCCATCTTAGAGTTGTAGGAGTTACAATAATAAACCCTTTGTTATAGCAAAAATACCTTTAAACTGTGCTAACACTTGACTACAGAATTTGGGTGCAGTGATGTACCTTAGAATAATATGAACAGTAAGATGACAGGGGTTTGAAGAATGCAAAATTTCCTTTCTCCTTCCAAATCTAAAAAACCTCCTTTAGCAAGCTTATATATTGTTGCAGTGTTGCTTCTGGCAGTCATTAACTTTTCTGCTGAGAAACCTCTAGCAATTTGGATGTATTATGACTATTGCAAGTCTGTTGTGTTTGAGTCTGAGCGGAACTTCTTGTATAGTGAAGACATGTCAAAACCCACGTTAACACAGGTTTAGGAAGCTAGCACTCAGCTTGTCTGTATTTCTTCATATCATGTTGCGCTGCCTTCCTGATTGCTAGAGTGATGTTAAACCTTTTCTTTTTTAAAATATAAATTTTTAGACTGCTTAATCTGTTATTTAAATCTTTGCAGTGGAAATAGTGCTTTGTTTTCCTCCTTAGGAAACTCCTCTCAAGAGAGCAGCAGCCCCCAATCGACAGCATAATTCGGGCTGGTTTGATTCCAAAGTTGGTCTCCTTCTTGGGTAGAGCAGACTGCGTTCCTATTCAGTTTGAATCTGCCTGGGCGCTTACCAACATTGCTTCTGGCACATCAGAACAAACAAAGGCAGTAGTAGATGGAGGGGCTATTCCAGCCTTTATCTCTCTGCTGGCCTCTCCCCATACTCACATCAGTGAACAGGCTGTGTGGGCACTGGGGAATATTGCAGGTATGTCAATATGCTATTTCAGACATGTTCCCTTGTTTAAAATGGTAGGACATTACTACTGACATATCATGCAGCATGCTGAGTGTCTGAGAAACTCGGCTTTGATTATGTTCAAGGCATGCTCTGCAATGTGGAGTATGCTACAGACAGTACTTTGTCTTCAGATCTGGTATAAGATGTCTCATGCAATGCCTGGCAAGCTATGGGTTGTACCGTGTGGGTTGCTTCCACATTTGAGTTCAGTTTTGATAGAGCTATATAGCCATGCTACAACATGGGGCTTCTTCTTGTATCTTTTTGGGTTTGTGACTTGCCAATGAGCTCTGCTCTGTGTTGGACTAGAAGGGGGAATGGAGGAAGCAGATAGCACATATAATTGTGTATGTGATGGCCAATATTATTTGCTTTGAAACAGCTACTTACCAATGTGACAGTATTAATATTCAAGTTTCTCATGCACCTTTCAGGATTACTTGATCTGCCAGTGTTGGATCCCAGCTTTTTTTTTTTTTTTTTTTTAATTAAGAAGTCAATAATATAGTTAAATGTTTGCTCTATTATTATGGCTTCCAACAGCTGTGCATTAAAGGGAATAGTGGATCTTTAACATAAAGGAAATGAGCTCATAAAAGTCCTGTTTGATTGGAGCTTTGAAGTTTCTCCTTAGAGTTTTTAAAACTTAATTATAAGGTACTTTTTTTGTACCATGCAATAGAAGAATTCAGTCAAACTTTAGCATTCCATAAGCATTATGCTATAGAACCAAATCATGCAACCAATGATTATCATGCATTTGAAATAGCATATTATGGGAAGAGCTCTTTTCTAGTGGTAGGGCTTAGATATGTTTTCAAAGAAACACTTAAGTCCCTGCTTAGTTATGAACTCCAGAAAAAAATGTATAGAAAACATATGCTAAACTACCTCTTTTTCCAACAGAGAAAAAATCGAAGCCACTGAGGTTAGAAAAACACATGCTTGTCATATGACTTAACCGTGGCCATAGAAATTTTTTCCTCCTGTTTCTTATCTAGCCCTTCTTAAAGCAGTAGAAGAATTCCTCCCTAAGACATAAAGATGTGCACATGTCCCTCTATCCTGGTCTTCAGCTGGCTATTTTTCTTTTCTCAGGGGATGGTTCTACCTATAGAGATCTGGTTATAAAATTTGGTGCAATTGGGCCACTGCTGAGTCTACTTGCTATTCCTGACCTCTCTTCCCTGGCTGTAAGTGGGCAGTATGATTCAAGTTACAATTACTAATAAGTGAGTAAAAGAGCTCAGTTGCTAACCATTTATTTCAACTCTTGCAGTCTGGATATTTACGTAATGTTACCTGGACCCTCTCAAACCTGTGTCGTAATAAGAATCCCGCACCACCCATAGAAGCCATTGAGCAGATTCTTCCAACTCTTGTTCGGCTCTTGCACCATGATGACCATGAGGTGTTAGCAGACACTTGCTGGGCACTTTCCTATTTAACAGATGGTTCCAATGACAGGATAGAAGTTGTAGTGAAAACTGGGTTGGTGCCACAACTTGTGAAGCTTCTGGGATGTAGTGAACTGCCAATAATGGTAAGCTATCAGACATGCAGATTGCTCTTGCTTGATTTGAGTCATGGATAAAGCTGCAGTTAGACTAGTGTTCGTGTAACTGAATGATTCTTCTTATACATAAATCAGATAGTTGGTTCTAGGTTTTGTGTAGGTAAGGCTTGAGGTTTTATCTTGCCTGGAGACTGCCCCAGTGAGACAAACTACGCTGTTGATGCCTATTGAGCTTCTTTACATAATTGTTGGATTTAACACACAAGTCAGCACAACAATCGACATCCTTTAAAGCTTGCTTTTAACTCTAAACTGCTGTTACAAATCCAGATTCTAGGGACTATTTAGAAGTGGGCTCTATGCACATTAAAATTGCCATATAATAAAGCTGCATTAATATGTTGAAGATAGTTTTCCTAAGCTCTATAATGAGTAGTTTTTTGTAGATTGGCCTTGGAAGGTGTGCAGTTCTAGTATGCTTTATGTCTGCTTATGGTATGCTAATGAGGAGCTTAAAACTCACCAGTAATAACATGTGCTGTTAACTGGGCAGGCTTCAGAAGGGGGACATCAAGTATGGCTGTATTTGTTCAAGCACAGATTCGATGATCCCAATTTTCCTATTTTCATGTTTGTTTCAGACTCCTTCATTAAGAGCCATAGGAAATATTGTCACTGGTACTGATGAGCAGACACAGATTGTTATTGACTCAGGAGCACTGTCTGTCTTCCCAAGTCTCCTCTCTCATCATAAAAACAATATTCAGAAAGAAGCAGCATGGACCATGTCCAACATCACTGCTGGGCGCCAGGATCAGATTCAGCGAGTTATAGACCATGGTCTTGTGCCTTATCTCATTGGTATTCTGAGGAAGGTAAACAAAGACTATATTTACTACTCTGAAGCTTTTGCTATCGCTACTACTATCTGTGTTCAAATACCCTGCATTTATCATCACAGGGGGATTTCAAATCTCAAAAGGAAGCTGTGTGGGCTGTGGCAAACTACACAAGTGGTGGAACAATTGACCAGATCGTGTATCTAGTTCAGGCTGGTGTTGTTGAACCACTACTGAATCTCCTCTCAGCTAAAGACAGCAAAATTGTGCTGGTTATTCTGGATGCTATTTCTAACATCTTCTTGGTATGTAGATGCAGTATACTCGATCACTGTCCAAGCTGTTGCTAATAGTTCTCCAGTAGTTGGTGCCATACATCTTTCCTAAGGTTATTATTCCATGTTTCTCTTGAAGGCTGCTGAGAAGATTAATGAGACTGAAAAACTTTGCCTCATGATTGAAGAGTGTGGAGGTCTAGACAAAATTGAAGCTCTCCAGTCACATGAAAATGAACAAGTGTACAAAGCCTCGTCTAGCTTGATTGAGAAATATTTCTCAGCAGAAGTAAGTGGCTGCAGGATGATTCTTTTCTTAATTTTATCTTCTATTGTAACAGTGATTACTAGGTTAATATGCTACTGCTATTTCAAAACTCTTTTCCCTTTCTTCTAGGAGGAGGAAGATCAAAATGTTGTACCAGAATCTACTGCTGCTAGCTATACTTTCCAAGTTCAGGGCACTACTCCAGATACTTTCAACTTCTAGATTCTGTGTATGTTGCAACCACCTAGAAGTTGTTTGGCACACAAATGACTGCTGCCTCTTTGTCTTAATAGTTCCTCTTTTACTGTGTTTGTTTTTATGTGACCTGTAGCACTTTGTCCAACTGAAACGTACTTGAACAGTTCAAAACTGTACATATGTGAATTTCTAACTGTAAACTTCATTCTTTCTGATATATACTTGTAAATACTTGTTCTCTTTTTGGCTCTTACTGTTCCTGTCGGGGAGAAGAATGCAACTGAGTGGGCAATACAGGCTTCTCGCAAACCATGAGCCACTACTCTGCAAACCTTCTATTATGTTTTACATAACCTGTTGTAATCAATACACTGAGTAGGCTTTTAAAGAGGGTTTCTATTTGAAGTTCAATAAAGTGATATCAAGACATTAAATTTAACTGTCAATTGCTTTCTCAAAAGGTGACTTATAGGGTAAGTATTCTTTATCAAAAATGTAGAATGGCAAGAATGCAGGTCTAAACCATTCAACTCTGAAGACTGGTTTTAAACATCTCCCACTTCTATGTATAGCAGCCATCTATTACTGCAGAACAAACAAACTGCTGCTTGTCTACAGGTATCTTCTATAGATCTCTGATTTGTTCTACCATGTTCATAACTGAGCTGAACTATCTTCTGCCTTTTTAAAGATTGTAGTGGTACTACTTAACTGCAAGTAATAGTGTGGAGGAGGGGTAAGTACAGCAGTTAACGAGTTGTAAGTATGTTCAGGTAGTCCTAGCATAGAGCATAGTAAATGCTTTGAAGCAGTTGCCTGTTCTAGAGGGCAAAAATGAAAGCTTTGTCTTGGAATCTATTATCCTGTTACTCCTAAAAATCTTCAATTGCAGTAACCTACTCTGACTCTAGAGGTGGTTGTACACAGTGGGGTTTGGGAGGGAGGAAGGTAGCGCAGGGAGAGGAAGGACTGTAGTAGTCCTGTTTTCCAGAAACCTTGGATAGAGATCTCATTAACTGGAACCTCCCCAGAGTCCATGTGTCTGACTACATTGACTCAGCTCATTGAGGTGCTCTAGCTGTTACGGTGGTGCAGAAGTCATTGTCATGGCTAGATTTATTTATTTTTTTTTTTTATAAGCATGACATATTTGAAGTGGAGCATGTCACTTTTATAAAACTGAAGGCAGAGCAGAAAACTGTCAAGTAGGGAATTCCTCTAGAGTTCCCCCAGGCTTTGCTTCTGCCTTCATGGAGGGGGAATTTAAAAGAAACAACTGAACAACCCCTTTGTATTCCGCTAAGTGAACCTGATGAAGGAATCTGGTGTTGTGCATTAGTCTGCTTATTGTGTGCTTTCAAGTCTATTTTAAAGTGCATATGCATATAAGTGGATTTTGGTGTCCTTTTAAGATCAGGTATTTTTAATGGAGAACTTATATTTACACCTTTCTCCCATGCTGCTACCACAGACTTCTTTAAACGAGTTATTGCTAATGCTGAAGATGCTGCTCTCACCCCTGTTATCATGGTGCAAGTCTACTACATTTGCTGACAAAAACGGTGCCCTTCCTCACTGGGGGCTGATAATTACATGTGCACTTGCATAACTTCCCTGTGCAAGCAACTTGCTTGGGTCTTAGGTGCTTGCAGGGTAGTGATAATGTCACAGAAGCTAGTGGATAACTTGTCTCCCTGTACATTCTGATCTCTTACTATGGTTAGCAGCAATAATGCTTCCTGCAGAGCTATCACTTGTGAACTCGCTAGCACAAGCACATTTCTGCTGGCCTCCTTAAGCCATATGAATTCCTCTGACCAAGTTGGAAAATGGCCTTAGAGATGCTCACATTGCTGTTAATAGTGTGGTACCTGTCACAAAAGATAATGTCTTGCAACACTCGCTGATTAATGATGACTTTATACTTTTGACTGTACTATTTTAACTAAGCTGCAGTAAGTAATAAGCTTTACTATAGGAATCTCTAAAGATAATCAGACCATTACCTATTGTAACCCTATCGCATCTACTGGTTAAGAAGTTGGCATCAGTGAGACTAACCTTCTGTTTCTGTGCTTGTGCTGCCAGACCAAGGGTGAGACTGAACTGTGGTTGTGTGCCTGCCTTCTGTATTAATGGGAGAGAGTGCAGGTGCCACCAGCACCTGCAGAAGAAGCTGTAGACAGTGCCAGACTGAGGAACAGACCTAAAGTCTGACACTACAATCTCTGCAACACCCTTGGGACCACATTCTGGTATTATCTTATCAGTACCCCTGCAAAGGGGAAAGAACCATCTGCCTTGCAATGCCAAAGCCTTTAATGTTCTGGGGCAAAAAACAATCAAATAGGCTTTTAGCCATCTGCAGTGAAGTTGTGTGTCCTTTGTTTTGTTGCCAGATCTCTTTGACTTAAAAGCATCAGCTCTAAAATAATGATTTTTCTGTGTCTGTAAAGAACTGAAAGAATTAACCTATGCAAATGCAATTATGCAAATTCAGCTTTCACCAATGAAGCCACTGCTTCCCCATACTTTATGTTTGTGTGTTTATAAGGGCAAGGTGAAACATAATTCAGAATTCTTGAGTAATTTCTTCACTCTATAAGATAGGGCATTTTTCCGGTAGAGGGTGCTGCAGGCAGCCTCAGAGTCTCATTTGCTTCTAAGTGGTTGATTCAGAAGTTCAGCCAGCCTGAACTGCTCAGGTATGATGTACTTAATTTTCCTATTAAGAAAATACTGTGATAAAATCCATTGGAGTACCTCTTATAATTACAGGAAATGTCTATGTACTAACTTCTGATTAAATATTGAATATAAGGTATAATGTGCTAACTTCTGATAAAATATTGAATAGAAGGTATAATCTTTTAAAAGTGCTAGGGTACTATTACTTTAAAATAAAACTTGCTTTAATTGCTTTTTGGCACATATGCAGTTAATTCGACTTTCTGTATAAAGTAAAGGGGATGAGAATGCATAACGCTTAATAGTATTGTTTCTACTTTTTCTTTTTGTTCTGAAGTAGTTGTTTCAGAATTTAATATATAGAGTTAACAATAGAACACTGCACATTCTTCTCTAGATGCCTGACAGCTCAGTGGCTTAATAATTAACTTTCTGGGGACTGAGACTGTTTTTATCCAAGAAAAATGTGTTCAGCCTATCCACCAATGAGCCCTGTTCTTGGCAGCATGTATTTCCACAAGCAACAATCTACAGTGATTATGAGTAAGTGACTGGAGTGAGTCACTCCTTATTCTAAGAAAATGCAAACTATTTCTGAGGTTAGGATCATAGTCACCCATTGGGCTGCATCTCTAGCTTTAAGAAAGTGGTAGGAGCAGAAAGGGAGAGGAGAATTGTTTTTGCTCCTAGTTCTTGGTTTGTTGGTTGGGGGTTTGTTTTGGGATTTTGTGTGTGTGTTGCCCAGCCAGATTTAAGAGCTAGCCTTTGTTATTTGGCAAATGCCTAATTCGGGCCAAGGGCTGGAATAAATGTCTGGTGGCCTATGTGTCAGTCTGCCAACTCCTCTGGGCTGAAAGCAACAATAACAGACCCCTGCTGACATCAACTGGCTTGGAATGCAGTTGTTGCTAATGCTATTTTATCTGTAGAGCGATGGCAAGATTTCAGTATAAGATCTCAGCAAACATAACTACCTCTGAAATTCTGCTGCTAGCAGATGCTGCCTGTGTGATTGCTCTTGCCAAAGATGCTGAAAGAAGGGCAGAGGCTTTGCAGTCCTGTTCAATGGCATGTCTGCTCACTTTCTTTTACAGAAAGAACAGTTTCAACTGTGGAAAAGCTAGAAATGGTTAAATTAGGAGAAACCTACTCTTTATTTCCCTGTGACTTAGACTGAAATATTCTTTTAAGCAAAGCTGCTTCCTGCTGCTCTATACAGAATGATTTAAATTGCACAGAACCACAGTGGTATATGTACAAAAAGGAACAGCTGTAAGTGTACAGGAAAAGGAATTCGCTAGTCAACAGTATTTCACAGATCTCTTCTGTTTCTAAATCTATTTTACAGCAAGGCAAACTGGGATACAAGAAAGCTATCTGCAGGTGTTCAAAAAGTAGCTGACAGAATTAACCTGGAGCCTGGGAATCCTGATGTCCATTCCTGTAGTTAACCCATGGCACTTCTGATCATGATAATTCTATATTCAGCGAAAGGATAATCTCAAGAGTATTGAATCTCTTTTGTGATAAGGTATGACATAACACTTAAGCACAGGTCTAAAAATTTCCAAATTGTGTGTACAATTTGGGCAAAAAGCACTGTTATTCAAACCAGAAGTAACTAATGAAGGTTCATTGACTGGTGATATTTGGCCTATAGAGAAAAATGTGACTTTCACTTAAAACCTGATTAGGAAATACATTAACCCATTGGTCCTAGTTAAAAGCTTATGCTTGACTTGCCTTCAGGGGAATGTTCGAAGAGAAGAGTCTAAGAGGAAACTGGGTGACCCCTCCTGAGGTTGGGAGGGGTGTACCAAACCCAATTGCAAATTTCAGGGAAAAAAAAAGCATTCGCAAGCACACTCAACCTATAGAGTTGTTCATTGTGTTTGGAAAACACTTCCTCATTGATCCACAGCATGGCACTGATAGGAATCAGGCAGAAACTCAGCATGTGGACAGCTAAGAAAGAATTGATTTGCTGTGAGTTTCATAGCACTTCATATGGACTAAGGGTCACTGGATTCCAGTCCTGTTTCTGACTGCAGAGCACTGTCTGTCTCAGACTGGCTCCAGGAAAAGGACACTCTTCCCCAGAAAGCCAGAAGATTTCGTGGAAGAGCCATGGCCTGTGTCCAGGTTGCAGTTCACCCACTGCCCTTGGGAGTGTCATTAGTGGGAGGGAAGGGGAGTTGGGATTTAAAGAGATGAGGAGAGGAGAGAAAAATTAAAGCAGCGGGGAGAAAAATCCTGATAATTCTTATTAAGCTGAACTTTCTTGACCACATTAAAATATTGTGCTCATCATTTAAATAAAACAATGGGACTAATCC